TGAAGCTTCCATTCAGGCTGCTCGCAACGCCCAGGCCCAACCTCAAATTAATATAACTGCAGACCAACTTTTGGGGGTCGGCGGCTGGGCTGGTTTAGATGCACAAGTGATCATGCAGGATGATGCCATAGAGCAGCTTAGAGGAGTGTGCATTAGAGCTTGGGAAAAAATCACTTCAGGTGGAGAACAATACCCTTTCTTTAGTGCTGTAAAGCAGGGACCAAAAGAACTGTATGTGGATTTTATAGCTTGGTTACAGGAGTCTCTTAAAAAGGTGATTGCAGATTCGGCTGCTCAGGATATAGTGTTACGGTTATTAGCTTTTGACAATGCTAAGCCTGATTGCCAGGCTGCTCTGCAACCTATTAGAGGGAAAGCACATTTAGTTGATTATATCAAGGCCTGTGATGGTATCGGAGGTAATCTGCATAAAGCTACTTTGTTGGCACAGGCAATGGCAGGACCAAGAGTGGATAAAGGAAATATTCCGTTTCCTGGAGCTTGTTTTAACTATGGAAAGCATGGTCATACTAAAAAAGAATGTAGAAAAAATCAGCAAGTCAGGCCACCAGATAGGGGAAAAAAGAAAACTGCTGAACCTGAAATATGTCCAAAATGTAAAAAAGGAAAACATCGGACTAAACAGTATCACTCTAAGTTTGATAAAGATGGGAACCCGATTTCGGGAGATGCTATGAGGGGCCCATCCCGGGCCCCATTCCAAACCGGGGCATTTCTGGCTCAGGCCATTCCCTCACCCCTGTACAATATCTGTCCCCTGCCCCAGCTGGTAGTGCCGCAGTAGATTTATGCTGCACAAAAGCTGTGAGCCTTCTGCCTGGGGAACCCCCACAAAAGGTCCCAACAGGAGTCTGTGGACCCTTGCCAGCAGGGACGATAGGATTACTTCTAGGAAGGTCTAGTTTAAGTTTAAAAAGGGTACAAATATAAACAGGAGTCATTGATTCAGGTTACAATGGGGAAATTCAAATTATTGTATCTACTTCTGTTCCCTGGAGAGCAGAGCCAGGAGAGCGTATAGCACAGTTCCTGATTGTGCCATATGCGGGAATGGGGGAAAAGTGAAATTAAATGAACAGGAGGATTTGGAAGCACAAATAAACAAGGCAAAGCAGCTTATTGGGTAAATCAAATTACTGATAAACGTCCTACCTGTGAAATAACTATTCAGTGAAAGAAATTTAAAGGTTTGGTAGATACAGGAGCCGACATTTCAATCATTTCTCTGCAGCACTGGCCGCCCACTTGGCCAATTCAACCTGCTCAATTTAACATAGTTGGAGTTGGTAAAGCCCCTGAAGTATATCAAAGTAGTTATATTTTGCACTGTGAAGGGCCCAATGGACAACTTGGGACTATTCAACCAGTTATAACTTCTGTACCTATAAATTTATGGGGAAGAGATTTATTGCAACAATGGGCAGCACAAGTATTCCAGAACAATTATATAGCCCTCAAAGTCAACATATGATTCATGAAATGGGGTATGTCCCTGGTATGGGACTAGGAAAAATTTGCAAGGTTAAAAAAAAAAACTGCTTCAAGCGAAAGGACAACAGTTCCCACCAAGGTTTAGAATATCATTTTTGATGGCGGCCATTGTTAAGCCTCCAGAACCTATGCCTTTAAAATGGTTAACGGATAATGTCCCAGGCTATACTAGCCAATCTCTAGCTACATTTTTCTCTGTATGGAATATTAAACACATTACTGGTATCCCATATAATTCTCAAGGACAAGCCACAGTGGAAAGAATGAATCTCTCCCTAAAACGGCAGCTGCAAAAGCAGAGGGAGGAAAACAGGGAATATGGAACACTGCAGATGCAACTGAATCTAGCATTATTAACTTTAAATTTTTTGAGTCTGCCCAAAGGCCAGATGGTATCAGCAGCTGAACAGCATCCTCAGAAACCAACTGCAAAGACAGAAGCCGAACAACTGGTTTGGTGGAGAGATCTGATAACAAAAAGTTGGGAAATAGGTAAAATAATAAACTTGGGGTAGAGGTTATGTTTGTGTTTCTCCAGGCCAAAATCAACAGCCAATTTGGATACCATCAAGACACCTGAAAGCTTATCATGAGTGAGATGCTGAGAAAGAGATTCCAGAAGGATCCCAAGGACCCCCCAGTTGCAGCCATGTCAAGACTGATGCTGAGAGAGGAGGACCCCAACTGTCACAAGCAACACCCGTCGAACACAGCCACCCACCTGGAGACAGATCAGGAAGCAGTCACAGATGGCGGAAGAAAACCTGAGCAAAGTGGGACAATCAGTCACAATGAGTACTTTAATGGTAGCTATGATAGCGGTGATCACCATTGCCATGAGTATTTCTTCAACAAGGGCTAACACAGAGAACAATTATACTTATTGGGCATATTTATCAATCTTGTCTGGCAATAATGTCTGGATGTAATCACTCTATGACACAGTTATACACGCTTTCTGATCTTAGTATTTACCATAATAAATCTGCTCCTATAATTGAGGCATACCGCCCTCAAAAACCTATTTGTAAACAGGATTGCCTCAGTTAGAAAAAATGAACGTACTTGTTTAGGAAGATTGCATTGCAGAAGAGGCAGAAGTGCTGCTCTCCGATTCCCATGGAGTCATTATTAATTGGTCCCCTAAGGGAATCTTTAGCTTGAATTGCACCTCTCAGTCTGCATGCCATGGTCACACTATGTTCAGCTGGTCTGAACAAAATGGTCAGATGGTAGAAATGATAAGAAGTACGGCAAGAGTTCCTATTATCTGGAACCATGGCGGTATAGTGGCATCTCACTCTCAAATGATGTGGCCTGTTGTAGGAGCTAAACAAGGATTTGTAGAAACTATTATTAAAAGAACAAACATTTAAGGCATCCCAGGCACACCTGACCTTAATGCCAGGAACCGGAGTGCTTGAAGAAGCTGCAGACAGATTAGCAGCTAGGAACCCATTAAAATGGATAAAAACACTTGGAAGCTCTGTGATGTCAATGATGATTGTGCTTTTAATCTGTGTCATTTGTATTTGTATAATCCGCAGATGCGGATCCCGACTCCTGCGACTCCTGCGAGAAGTAGCTCAGCATGACAAAGCTGCCTTTGTTTTTATCACTTTGCAAATCAAATAAGGGGGACATTTTGGGAATAGGCCCCCAAAATCTGGCCATAAACCGGACCCAAAACTGGCCATAAACAAAATCTCTGCAGCACTGCAACATGTTCGTGATGGCCATGACACCCACGCTCGAAGGTTGTGGGTTTACCGGAATGAGGGCAAGGAACACTTGGCCCACCCAGGGTGGAAAACTGCTTAAAGGGGTTCTTAAACTACAAACAATAGCATGAGCGATCTGTGCCTTAAGGACATGCTCCTGCTGCAGATAACTAGCCAGAGCCCATCCCTTTATTTTGGCCCATCCCTTTGTTTTCCGTAAGGAATACTTTTAGTTAATCTACAATCTATAAAAACAATGCTTATCACTGACTTGCTGTCAATAAATATGTGGGTAAATCTCTGTTCGAGGCTCTCGGCTCTCAAGGCTGTGAGACCACTGATTTCCTATTCCACACCTCTATATTTCTCTGTGTGTGTCTTTAATTCCTCTAGCACCACTGGGTTAGGGTCTCCCCGACCGAGCTGGCCTCGGCAGTGCCTGGCACATAGAAGGTGCTACAGAAGTGTTGTTAGCTGTCCTAATATTGAATATGCTTCCATGAATACTATGTAACTCCCAGTGCCAGGTCAGGTGGGGGAAGAACAAATTTGAGAACTGACAATGAAGCCACTTCACTGGAGAATGGGGTTGTAGAGGCTTCTGCAATCTAAGTGGGAGATCAGGAATTTTAGGCCTGGGGGCTGTACTGAACAGCTTGCTCAGGCCTCACCATTTTTTTTTTTTTTTTTTTTTTGAGATGGAGTCTCTTCTGTCACCCAGGCTGGAGTGTGCAGTGGCACGATTTTGGCTCACTGCAAGCTCTGCCTCCTGGGTTCACACCATTCTCCTGCCTCAGCCCCCAAGTAGCTAGGACTACAGGCACCCCCACCAGGCCTGGCTAATTTTTTTTTTTTTTTTTTTTTTTTTGGTATTTTAGTAGCTACAGGGTTTCACCATGTTAGCCAAGATGGTCTCAATCCCCTGACCTCGTGATCCGCCCACCTCAGCTCCCAAAGTGCTGGGATTACAGGCATGAGCCACGGCGCCGAGCCTCACCTTTTTTTTTTTTTTTCTTAGAACTCGGGACATAGAGTGGATAGTGCCTTCTCCCAGCAATTCCTATGTCTGGTGACCCAGTGCTAGAGCTGCCTGTAAAACAGATCTTTGGTTGTGCTGGGCTGTGCTTCTTCTAGGGGCTGGAAGAA